ATGGTAGGGGAAAAACTTGAACAGTTTTTTGATCACCAATAATGGGTGAGTGGGGAGGGGTTTGGGTGGTCCCCAAGCTGGGGTAGGAACAATCTGTGTATATCTGCAATTGAAAAGGAAGGAGAGAGGGAGAGATGGAGGAGGAGAAAGAGAGAAAAAGAAAATGTTCACTCTGAAATACAATGTTAAGTCTGTATGTTTAAACATGCCAATCTTTTCTATGTCCTTCCCTGACTCACATTGACTACTATGGCAACAGAAATTGACATTAATGGATTAAATAAAAAATACTACATTCCTTCTGGAGAAATTAAAAAAAAAAAGAACTGTTGTCCTGGAAGTTCTCTATTTTTTGAAATGATAAGGAGACATTAATGATATTAAAGTCAGTTAACAAATTGTGCTAACGATTCAGTAGGCCAGGGCTGACAGAGCAGCTCAAGTGGTACAACACCTGAGTTCAAACTCTGGTACTGCCAAAAAAAAAAAAAAAAAAAAAAAATCCAGTGGTCCAAAGAGATTTTTCCTATTTTGGAAAACTAACATTTTAGAAAAAAATACGCTAAAACAATTGTAACCATCTATGACTACTCCAGAAAAATACAAAAGAGGTTTTTTTCAACCAAGATTTGGTAACTCATTACTTATCTTTGTGAAAGGATAACAATACATTTTGGGTTGAGGGAATTTGTGGAATAAATTATGTTGCCAGTCAACAATCCTAATTTGTGTGGGAAAATCACATTAGAACAGGACTAGAAAGTGTGTAGCTATAGTTTCTCTTTTATGAATGGAAGTAGCACAGCACATAAAGAGTATTAGTAACTTAAATATAATATAATATTACATTTGGTTTTTTAAATACTTCTGGATGAGTTAGAAGCAACTTTGATGAGAAGGAAGAATTACCAACATTAAAATCTGAGGATGTGTTGGGACACCAGAATGTAGCTTTGTGCAACACAAAATAACTACTTTGGCAGGGCGTAATGGAGAACGTAAACAGCAGGTCACTTCCACAGATGTGTGTGGCTCAGAGTTCTCTATATCAGCTCAAGAACAAGTCTGAGTAATTTTAGCTTTCCTAAACTAGGGAACAATCTAGTGTTTAGTTACTGGCAATGGTGTGGTTGCTTTTGAGTGACGGCATTTAGAGTTGGCAGACATGATGGGGCACGTTTAGGGCCACAGACTTAGAGACAGATCTTGTGACAGAAGCAGCTTTCACATTCAAGCAAGGCTGGAAGGACTGCTATTGAAGCATGGTCACTTCAGCCCCATCCACATCCATGGACTCCCATTCTGTTGGCTTCTTCTATTGCAATGAAAAGCTAGTAAGCTCCAAATCAACTACTGTCACATACATGTTGAGGAGGAATGATTCATCAGCAGGGCAGTAAGATGGTTGAGCTAAGACATTCTTGGCACAGGCACAAAGTTGTCTAATGTAGTTGTTAGATAATAGATATCTAGGAAAAAATTGACCATTTGTGAGTTTACTTGATTAAGGGAGGAGTGATAAGAAACTTTAAAGTTCAGCTCATAAAAGCAACTGATATTCACTCTAGGTAAGAGACCATATGAAGTTTTTATGTAAACTGTCTTATTTAACTCAATAACCCTATGGCATAGGCATTATCATCCCCATTTATAGGTGAAAAAAAAGGAAGCAAAAGAGTTTAATTTGCTTAAGAGCTCACAGTAATAAATGATGAAGCTGGAGTTTGAAAACCAGAAAGTCTAACTTCAGAAACTATGTGCATAAGCAATATTATGTGTTTACAAAGACAGACTTGACTTTTCTTTCCTTCATCATTTCTTCACCAGGAAGCCATCTTCTTTACTAGCCTTTTAAAAAATATAGTAAATGACTATAACAAAAAAACTATGTATGACCCCGGGCAATCTTAAGAATGACTAGTTTAGAAGTCCTATGAATAACATGGTTAAAAAAAAATGGCCTATTCTTTTTCTTTTTTGGTGGCACTGGGGTTTGAACTCAGGGCCTCACACTTGCTTGGCAGGTGCTTTCAGCTTGAGCTGCTCTGCCAGACCTGGCCTATTTCTTTGTATATAGTGGATTGATTGGAAAAGTTCTACTTCAGAAATACTAGAATAATATAAAACTACCAGGTTGAACTTTTTTCTTTCTATTCTGTCTCTCTCTCTCTCTTGGTGGGACTGGGGTTTGAACTCTTCTATTCTGAAATACAACAGCTAATGTTACCAAAAAATTACACAACCATTAACAATTCAAGTCTTGAATTTTCAGTTAGACACTCTCAGTTGACAATTAAACCTTTTGTTTTCCTCACTCCTCTTAGTTGCAAAACTTTTCCCACTGTTTTCTCTTTTAGTTGCAAATCCAAACCATGTCATTCTCAGACTTAACTCCCAGTTTCCTATCTTTTCAGATAATTTTGCCTCCAGTATCACTGAGGAGACTGTGGCCATCAGACTTGGATTTTATGAACTTCCTCTAACTACACCTATGAATGTACCCTCATGTTTACCCATCTTATTGTCTCACAGAAGATAAGTTCTCTTCTGACCCAAATCAAATTACCTAGCCGTGCTTTGGGTTTTATTCTCTCCCAGGTCTTCAAGGAACTTGAATCATTAAAGTTCCATTCTGTCTCGTGTCGTGGTAGATTTGCCAAGTATATTTCTGTGGTGTCCACAACTCTCAGGAGGGAAAGTGATTCATTCCTGATCTCTGTAAAGGGCAGCGGGCATGGATTCTACCATGTGAACTCCACATGATTGGGTCAGATGGATTCTCTCCTATGGGAGCCAATTTACACATGCAGCAGAGAATTAAGACGTGTCCTGAAACGAAAAGATAAGCAAGGGTTTCTCATCTTATTAGAACTTTTTATTTTTATTATTAATTTATGATCTTTGTAGCCTATCTTGCCTGTGAAAATCACCTACTTTTAAGTTCAGTGGAAGTAAGTGCATATTATATAATTGCTGGAGAGCTTAGCATTCTAGTGCAAGAACGGTAACACTGAACATTATTAATGATAAAAATACATCTTACAGCAGCCCGTTTCATGGGTTTTAAGTACACTATCTCTGATTCTCATGGTAATCTTAGAATGTAGGTTCTAATATTCTTAATTTTCAGATTAAAAAAAAAAACTAAGGCTCAGAGAGTTTAGGTAACTTATCAAGGTCATTCAGAGTGGAGTTTGGAGTCTGGATCCAAAGATTATGGATTCCTTGTCCTCTATATACTGTAGCTGCCTTTTTCCTAATAAAAACTAAGGCATATCCTAGTGGTGCACACCAGAAATCCCAGTACTCAGGAGGCTGAAGCAGGAGGATGGCAACTTCAAGGCCAGGTTAAGTTCTCTTTACATAGTGAGATCCTGTCTCAAAAAACCAAAACCAAAACCACAACAAAAAACACAAGGCATAGCTTACTTTTATCATTGTCCTCTTAGTATGACATCAAAAAGATTGGAGTTGGCTTACATAAGTATATAAAACAGCATAAAATTAACAGTTATTAGAGGGAAATAATATCAGACTTGGAGAAAAATTAGTGTATAAAAATGTATGTCATAGGTTCTGTGTGTGTAATTAGATCAGGGTCTCTAAATATTGCTTCATTGTGAAGCGTATGATGCCTTTGGGAAAACTTGGGATAGCTCCTGAGGATTCAAGAGGTTGGACTGGCAAGGTGATCATTATTAAATACTTACAGTAGGCAAAATACAGTGAGATGCACCTGGCATAAATATCTGCTGAATGAACTCAGGCATCTCAGCCTATAGTGTAAGGAGAGCAGGTCTGCTAAAAAGGGGGTAGATATTCACCATCAAATCTGAACAACACTCTATAAAAATATCACTAACCATAAATATTCAGACAGACATTCTACAAAGCAGCATTATCAAAAGATACACTTGCTCTAAAGATGATTTCTTGCACAGAATGCCTTAAAATTTCAGCATTCTAGTTGGAATTTATTGGTTTTATACCATTTTCTTCTTGGTTAGGACAGAGGTGTACAACTTTCTGAACCAGAGAGGTACTTAATCAAAAAGTTGAAGATGATAATTAGCTTACAAAGAGCAATGCAGTAGTGTCTTTGAAGGAAAAACCATAATTATAAAAAACTTGGATTGCCGTATGACTTAATACTGACTTTTGCATATATACTGACATTTAATACTGCCATTTGCGTGTATACTGGGGTCAGGTGAAGAAAATAAGGTATTATTTGGATTTATGATGGGGGGGTGGTCAAGATTCTGAATCTACAAAAAAACTCAGCTGCTATTAGTATGTAACAAGGGAGGAGAGCATGGATGTGGAGCAGGGGTTAAATAAGATGTTAGCTTTGCACAGATGACCTCATACTTAATCATACAGTAAATCTGCTGGGCCATGGCTCAGGACACCCAAAATATCAGGATTGATGTCTCTCCTAAACCTTCCATATTAAGAAGCACAGAATTTTAGGGGTGCTGTTGTTGCATTTGCTAGCCCAAGTCAAATAGCAAAGGTTCAGCCCTTAAATGTCTAGAGAAATAACCCCCTTTCTAAATTCTCTGCTTTGTTGTACCCTGCTTATTTTCAAATTCCAACAGGCGAAAACTCCGGAACCTCAGGAAGCAACAAGGCCCAGAGATCCGCACTCTCTGGTGGAGTTGAAGTGGGGCGGTTCAGAGACTGTATTTTGAGAAACAGTAGAACAGGGTCAGAACGGTGACACAGGAGTCATCTGCGAAGAGCTGTCCTGTCTTGGCAGCCTTGGAGGTTAAGGCTTGCTCTGGGCTTCATTCAACAGCCTAGAAAACCAAACACGCGGGGGAGTCTTTGAAGTCCGTCAGAGGCGCCAGCTAGGAGGAAACCAGCCCACGCTCGGGGCCAGTCGACGCCGCTCCACCTACGCCATGAGTCTCCCGGCTCTCTTCACGGCGTTAGCTCTCACAACAGCCACCCTCCACCAAGAGCCGCGGTGAGATAACGCTCGGTGAAGCCGGAGGGGCCCGCGCAGGAAGCACCTTCCGACAGCTCCCGCCTCCCGCTCACCGGAACCGGAAGTTGGGGGTCCGCGGCTGGCGCCTCGCCCTCTGCGGACCGCGGGGCACCATGCTTTGCGGTCCCCCGGGCCTGCTCAGGGCCTCCGTAGCGCCCGCCGCGGCCCTGGCGGCGGCGCTGCTCTCGTCGGTCGCGCGCTGCGCTCTCCTAGAGCCCAGCGACCCGGTGGCCTCGGCGCTCAGCCCCTACTTCGGCACCAAGACTCGCTACGAAGATGTCAACCCCGGGCTACTGTTGGATCCCGAGGCACCGCGGCGGGACCCCCAGCTGCTGGACGGCGCCTGCACCCCGGTTCAGCTGGTCGCCCTCATTCGCCACGGCACCCGCTACCCGACGGCCAAGCAGATCCGCAAGCTGAGGCAGCTGCACGGGCTGCTGCAGGCCCGCGCGCCCGGGCATGGCGGCGACAGCGACCTGGGCGCCGTGCTGGCCGACTGGCCGCTGTGGTACGCGGACTGGATGGACGGGCAGCTGGTGGAGAAGGGACGGCAGGACATGCGACAGCTGGCGCTCCGTCTGGCCTCGCTCTTCCCCGCCCTCTTCAGCCGGGAGAATTGTGGCCGCCTGCAGCTGGTCACCAGCTCTAAGCACCGCTGCGTGGACAGCGGTGCCGCCTTCCTGCAGGGGCTGTGGCAGCACTACCACCCGGGATTGTCGCCGCCTGACGTCGCAGGTGACCGCCCGTCGCCTGCATAAGCAGGGTCCAGAGCCCCCGGGCCTCCCCAAACTCAGCTTCTCCCCTTCCCTCTGCTCCCAAGCCTCCATCCTTCCGGCTGGACCTCTCTGGGGCCAGGTCCTTGTGGGCGTGGCTGTCCGTCTCCTCTTGGTAAACATGTCCATCTCCTCTTGGTAAACATGTCCATCCGTTCATTCAGCGGGTGTGCGTTTGGCACCTTCTGTGCGCTGCACGCTGTATTAGACGCTGGGATCCAGCAGGAGAGGAGGCAGACCAGATCTCCAGAAATTCTTGCTCTCCCATTCCCAAATTGAAGTGCTCTATGAGCACTATTCCTTCTTCCCGCCTTTGGCAGCCAGATTTTTTGATTTTATTATTTTTTTAAAAACAGTGGCGCACATCTGTAAAAAGTAAAATCTAGAACTTTCTTCCTCCTTGGGCATTGGTCATACTAGCAGTTTTTGTTTTTTTTTTTAAATCTGATTCTCTTCTCAGGTGTGGGTTCCAGACCTACACCCTTTATGTCCTGCTTTTTCCTTGTTTGGTTCTTGAGTTTACTACTATAGAGTTCCTCCCCCTCACTGTACATGATCACTCACAACACCATATCAGTTTATCCTATTAGTTATACCTTCTCAAAATTTGAGAGCTCTCCTGGTGGGAGCCTTTTATTTCACAGGTGAAGAAACTTAACTCCAAACTATGCCTCCTTGACTGTCCTTACCTAGTTTTAGAACCAGTTCTCTGCTTTTTCCACCCGAAATGTTTTAATGTCACAGATGATGATAGCAAGCATAGTGCCTATGACATGCCAGGAATACCTCTTTTGTTTTATTAAATCCTTACAACTCCTCTCTGAAGTTAATAGTGTTCCCTTTTGTCTCACTGATGAGAAAATGAAACAGAAATACCAAATAATTTGCTCATTTCCATACAGCTAGCTGTGGACCCAGGAAATCTGATTTAGAGTTTGTTCTTTTAACTGTTATTCTCTACAGCTTCCATTTGTCCTGTAACACACCCGCTGAGAAAAATAACGTAACTTTTTTGCCAGGAGATGTGTCAGTAGTTGCTTAGAAGTAGACTGGTTTGTCACTTCTCTATTGACTGTGTGTCATACTATTGCTTTGTGGATAACTCAGTTGGCTGATGTACCTGCACTGACTTGTTGAGTTGCACTTTTTACTTATAGCTAGACTTTTTTTGGGGGGGGGCAAAAATTCCCATAAATCCCCTAAATTAACTGAATGTAAAAAGCAGAACATATTTTAATATAGCACACCATATACTGTGTAGTATATACTGGACCTACTGGAATGAATGAATTATGGTCCTCAGCATGCATTGTGATAATTGCCATTTGTCTCAGAGTGCAAAGTCGGGGATTAGAATACTTCAGGATAACCCACTCATCATTTACAGTCTCAGAGATTATACCCTTTGCCTAGTACTTCATTATCATCTACAGACAATTGTTTTGCCTATTATGTACATCTGGGCTTTTGAGAAAGACCACTGAATTAGATTTTATGTTTTTATGGAAACGGAACAATGCCTTTGTTTCTGTTTAAAGAGCAGCAGTAATTAAATAACAAGTATGAGATATCCAGATCCACATGAGAAATCATACTTTGAGGCCACACAGAAAGATTTCACAGTTCTATTTTCCTAGTCATGACATTTTTGTAAAATAAGAACTATAATCCAATTGTCAAAGTAGATGGAATTACATATTTTCAGGGAACTTCCTTATACATGTATGTGTATTTCTGCACATACATCCAAAGTGAAATGGTATAACTATTCAGTTTTTTCATATTTCATATGCAGAAATGATACTTAGTGTTCTTTTCGTGGTGGAATTACTGGAGAAATGATGATCGAGATATGTTTTGAAAATGACTTTAACTCCCCCCACCAACAGCTGAAACATGATTGTGACTGGTTTCTAACACATATTTGTTTCCAAGTTGGGGAAATAAAGTAACTTATTAAATTCTAAGTGGAAAGTCATTCTGGACCTTCAGATAGAAGATAACCAAATTAGAAGCACCTAGCTCAATGAAGCACAGTAGGCCTGAAACAATGTATTTTGTGTTGCTGTCAGTCCTCCTTGTCCAAAGCAGAATCTTTTGTAAAAGAATAGGGTTCAGAAGTCTAATTGAGAAAACAGAATGCTCTTCTTAGACTTTGTCTGTTGGTTCTTACCTTGTATGTAGAGACTTTGCTAATTTTTAGTTTGCTTTTTAGTTTTTTGTGCCTGGCAGAAGCTACTTATATAAAAGTTTGGCACCTTGCTAGTTTTGTGTCTTTTCTGACTTTCATCTACTTTTTGTTTTCTGTTAGAAAATATTCACTTCAGTTACCTTTATTTCATTTTGTAGCTTTGCATTAACACATTTTATTTTCATGATCTCTGTTTTTTTAATCTTTTCTAGTGTATCATGTATTACAATCAATAGAAATGGGGAATAATTTTACCGTTTGCCTTACTTGGTCATTACGTCCTTATTTCAGACACACATATTAATAGGTTGCTAGTGTTCCTTTTTACACTTAAAATATAATTTTTAGTAATTTGAGATTAAATGATTTACATATGTATAATTTTTCCTTTCAGATATGGAGTGTGGACCTCCAAGAATCAATGATAAACTAATGAGGTTCTTTGATCATTGTGAGAAATTTTTAACTGAAGTGGAAAGGAATGTTACAGCTCTTCATCATGTAGAGGCCTTCAAAGCTGGACCAGAAATGCAGAACATTTTAAAAAAAGTTGCAGCTACTTTACAAGTGCCAGTAAATGATTTAAATGCAGGTAATATATCTATTACCTTTCATTTGAATTTTGGTTTAAATAATTTTGAACTGTGAAATGGAAAAAACAAACATAATTATTCCTTTTAAAGGCTCACAGTTGAGTTTACATGAAGAAAATATGTTCTGAGTCAAGAAAATTATATACCTTATTTTTTGGTTCATACTCTTTGAGTCTTATCTAAATTAATATATAAGATTCTTGGAATGCTCTGGAATATTTTTGAGGGTGGAGATATATAAAGCTTCAACCGTAAGCACTATTTGTAAAACAAAGATTACCTTTACTGAATTATCTCTTTATTAAGTGATGCAAGTAGAAAATCCTGTAAATTCTTTAACTTTTGAAAACATTTGGAAGTATACGTTAATGTGTTAGAATGATGGGTTTTAGAAGGTAAGAAGCAAAATGGTATGTTTTCTGCAGCTTTTATTTGAAGAGATGCTGAGAAGATGGGTAGTCAGATGCCTGTCTTAAGGTATTGCAGTGGATGGACTGATTGAAATTTATCATCCAAGCTGGGATACTTAATAATTATGTAGGGAATGCAAATGCAAAACAGGGCATTATGGTCACATGGTAATAAAGATTGTAGATTTCAATATATTTGTGAATCAGTTTCCAAAAAATTGAAAGTAGGAGATGTTTGAGAAAAAAGTAGATAAGAAACTGCCGATTATGGAGGCAGGATGTTTTTTAAGAATTTAACAACAACAAAACATCCAGATTAGTATTTAAAATTGAATTTTTGTCTTTCCCCAGATAGGCTGTACTGTGGGGGTCTCCTGTAGAGTTTTAAAATAATTGTATTATATAATGGCAGTAATTAGAATAACCATTATATAAATATTTTATACTATATTATTTAAGTATATCAGTATTTAGCCTTTATTCTGTTATTTGTATTGCAAAATAATTCAAACATGTTGATAAAAATAAAAGCTAACATAATGAACACTATATACTTAAAACTTACATTTTTCAGATTTTAGCATTATGCTTCATTTGGTTGCCCAAAATAAACATTGGTCCCTCTCCTGATTCCCATTCTTTTCCTTTTTTCTCCAGAGGCAACCATTGTCATGAATTGAGTGTTTAAGTCATTCCATGCCAGTTTTTATGTGTTTTTAAATACAGAAGTGGGATATTGTTTTTGGATTTTTAAGCTTTTAAGAATGGATCAATATATATGAAGTCTGAAATCTGATTTATATCCAACTTTATGGTTTTTAGGTAATGTTTATCATTCTAGTTATGCATTTTATTTATTTATTAATCATTATTTTCTGCAGTCTGGGGATTGCACCCAGGGTCTTGTATATGTTAGGCAAGAGTTCTACCTTGAGCTGCACATTTAGCCTAGTCCTTCATTTTAAGTTTACATAAAGACTTCCACTATATAGGTGTACCCATATTTAGCTATTATGTTAATGAACAGAATGTCTTTATATGTACATTTAACTTACAGGTATAGCTTTAACATAGAGAAAAAAACCATGTGATCTTGTCTTACTTCACTTAACATGATGTTCTCCATTTCCATCCATTTACCTGCAGACAACATAATTTCTTTCTTCTTAATGGCTGAATAAAACTGTTTATTTTTACATAGGAGGTGATTCTGTCTGTGTTTTCCATAATGTATTTTTACTTACACATCCCATCTGTACACATAGATCTGTCCCATTTCTTTATAAATTGTTATTTCACAGGATACATGATTTGATTTCTGGGTTAATGCTACTGAAAACTTAACCCATCCTCAAATTTTATTGCTATAAGAAGTTGGAGCAATTATATTCCAAAATGTTTTTCTTGAAAATTTTCTTAGTTATTACATGTCAGATGATACTACAGTGAACATTCTTGTGTGTTTTTCACACTTGAGAGTTTAGTTTATAAGATAACAAATAGGTGAAATTGAAGGGCCTACGAGCATGAATATTTTACATCTCAGCGTGTATTTCCAAACTGTTCTCTGAAGGTGTAGTAAAAATTTGTATCAACAGTATATGAGAATGCTTCCCTAACTCACCCAACATCAGTTGTTATTAATCATTTTAATTTAGGCAGTTTGATTAATGAGAAATAATATGTACCTTTAATTTACATTTTTTGATTTCTGAAATTGAACATTTTTTTCATGTTTTTGTACCTATATGTGTCTTTTATTGGACAAACATTTGAAGCAAATATAACAAAATACTAAGGTTTTTTTTTACATGTTTATTATTAACATTTGCATTTCTTGGGAGAATTACCCCTTTAGAACCTTGTCTCTCTCTTTTCCTTTTTTTCCAATGGTGCTGGACTGGGATCAAACATAGGGTTTCTCACATGGCAGGCAAACATTCTACCATTGAGCAATACCTTCAGTCTCATTGTCCATTTTCTATTAGGGAGTTTTACCTTTTTCTTGTTGGTCATAAGTACCCTTTATGTACTATAGATGTGTTAACCATATCTTTTAATTCTGCCTGACAGAGGATTAGTCTTTTGCTTACTATATATTGTTAATATTTTCTCTTAATTTATTACTTATCTTTTAGTTTTGCTTATGGTGTCTTTGACAGTATGTAAGTTTACATCCTTTGGATAGCCATATCTGTGTTCATTTTGGCTTTTGAGTATTGTATTTTGTCTAGGACTCTTCTTTTACCACAAGATTATTATATTTTCATATTGTTTTTTAAAATGATTAAATCTCTAATCCATATGAAGTCTTTTTGACATTCCAAAAGATTGACCAAGAAGTCAGAAGAGTCATAATAGATGAGTCAGCTATAAATCATCAAATAACATAATTTGTCTAAGTTCCTTATTTTGTAGGTTGACAAATAGAGAGACCCAGAGAGCCTAGAGTGTCTTCCCAGGATACCCAGTGGCAGAGTTAGATCTCATGGCCTCAGCCTTCTTTTCATGTTTTTTCTCTTTATACCTCAAAGATGACATTGGTGAATTTTTTTTTTAGTCACTTCCTTTCTAGTTAAAATATACCATTTGGCTGACTTTCATAGTTTGAGACTAGAACTTTCAGTCTAAATGAGTCAGATTCTTTTATCAACCATAAAAAATATTTGCAAAAATGGCTTTTCTGTGTATACTGCCTCAGGGGAATTCTATAAACTCAGAACTAGTTGCAGAAAGGTGTAATATCAATTAATTTTTGGTCCCATTTTCCAATGGGAAAGAAGAAAGTAAAATGAAAGTAAGTGGAGGCAAGTCCTGCAGTCAACTTCTCTCTTTCTGGCATTAGGTGTCACTTCTTGATTGAGAGCATAAATGTTTTCATTACCTTTTGTAACCTAAGCACTCATTCCTTTATCCCTTTCTTTAACCCATATGTGTCTAAAAGTAACATAATCAGTAAATTAGCAATGTAAAAATTCCAGCTAAGTTATTCTGAAATCTGTTTCTGAAATTGCTTGGGCATATGAGTTTGAAAAATGGCTGCTATTACCAGCCTTTCACTCCCTCTTTAGTGTGCAATTTTCCCTTCCTTGTTCTCTGTCTGGACTCTGTTTCACCTTTTTCCTGCCCCTTCACTTACTGTGCTCTTTCTTCCCTCTGTGTCTTCTAGAGTCTTCTCTCTCCTTTTATGCCCTTCTCTTTTTATAGTTATTTTATTGGTATAGTTATATATTTATAGTTATTACTATAGTTATATTATTATAGTTATAATATGAACTGTTGTATAGTTTTAAAAACTGTTCAATAAATGTACTTTGTTCCCAGTTTTCAAGTTTGGGACTAAGACCTTTATAACTTTAGCATCCCTTTTTCAGTCCTCTAAAAGTAACAAAATCAAGTTCTACTTCACAGAGTAAGTCCTTGGTTTAACCTTTTTCGTTTGGTTTTCCAGGTAAATATGCTCTTAGCAAATAACTAGTTTTGGTTTTGCTGTTATCGTTGTTATTTTGAGACAGATTCTCACTGTGTAGGCTCACTGTCTAGATCCTCTTGGCTCTGTCTCCTGAGTGCTGGGAATAAGGCACATATCACCATGCCTGCCTCAAATAACTACTTTTAAAAGCTGAAAAAAAAAAAAAAACCATTTGCAGCAAGTTTCTTAGTTTCATGGGGCTGACATTTATACCTCCTGGGGTTTTTTTACTGATATTGTGGTTCTGCCTAGTCACATTGTGCAGAAAAAGCCTTAATTCTTTCACAGGGAAAACAATCCAGCTATTTACTGTGCTGCAAATAGCGTTCATATAGACATTTAGCTTTGAAGAATTTCAGAAGCTAATAACCCACAAAATTTGCCTGTTTTTTCCCCCAGATTTAATTCAGGTGGCATTTTTCACCTGTTCATTTGACCTGGCAATTAGAGGTGTTAAATCTCCTTGGTGTGATATTTTTGACATAGATGATGCAAAGGTAAGTATTTTGTAGTTTCTTTCACCTTTTTTTTTTGTTGTTAAAGTAGCTTTCCTGAAAATGAGCAGAGCTAAGAAACTATCTTGTAACTAAGTTCTAATTTCCTTAAATAGAGATTAATGTTCAAATAGGTCCTTGTAAATAGTTTGGGTTTATAGAAATCTGGAAAATATATTTTTTTCTTGGTGATTTGATTTCTAGGTGTCCCCTTCCCCCACTACCCCATTTAAAAACCCATTTAACCCATCATCAAATTTTACTGCTGGAAGGGTTTGTCAAGGCAGTATAAGATAGACTATTCTTTTTATAGGAATATAAAATGTGATTCTCCCAATGTCCACCTCCTTAGTCGTTAGGAATTACATGTATGAGTCATTGTCCTCTACCTAAATTGGGACACTTTTTAAAAGGAAAAAAACTACTCCAGAGGCAGAAATCAAGAAGATTGGGGTTTGAGGCTAGCCCAGGGAAAAAAGTTCATGAGACCCTGTTTCAATCAGTGGCTGGGCATGGTGGCATGCACCTGTCACCCCAACTAAGCAGGGAAGCAAAAGTAGGAGGATCACAGCCCAGGCATTAAGTGAGACCCTATCTCAAAAATAACCAATGCAAAAAGGGCTGGCAGAGTGGTTCAAATGATACAATGCCTGCCCAGTGAGCATGAGGCCCTGAGTTCAACACTAAGTACTGCCAAAAAAAAAGTGACAAAGGCACGATTAATAATTATGTCAGTATAGTTATAAACTGAGAACTTACAGTCACCATTCACATGTCAAAATACTTCCTTTTTTTCTTCTATTCTGATTGCTTCCTGCAGTGGGGACTGTGAGTGAAGTGATTTTCAGTATTGTGCAGATGACAGGTGTTGGCAAAAGAGAAATTTACTTTTTGACACAACTTATTTGCCCAGGTTACTCTAGTTGTTAGAATATTAGAGATACAATAATATCTATAATATTGCAGGTTGAGAATGTAGTCCTATATAATATATATTACTTTCTTATTGCTTATATAACAAATTACCACAAACTTAGTATCTTAAAACAATGTCAGTTTGTTATCTTATAGTTCTGATGTCAAAAATACAAAGTGGGTTTTATAGGGTTCATTAAGGTATAGACAAAGCTGTGTTCTTTCTGGAGGATAATCTGTATCCTGCCTTTTCCAGTCCTCGGAGGCTTCTGTGTTCCCTGTGTCACTCCAGCCTCTACTTCCATAGTCACATCTTCTAACTGTTACTGTCCCTTCTGCCTACCTCTTAAAAGGATGCTTTGGCTCATGCAGATTGTCCAGGATAAGCTCTCCATCCCAGATCATATCTGCAGAGTCCTGTTACCATGTAAAGTAACATATTCATAGAATGTCCAGAGATTGGATATAGACAGTATTGGTGGGGGGGAGACATTTATTCTGTCTGCCACATATTTATAATCTTTTTTTTTGCCCATCAGGACACTTTACTCTTAAATACTTTGCCACTCATCTAAACAAGAACATTCTCCTACATAACCATAAGATACTATAGTTTGTATATGTATGTAATGTAATTATCTGATATAGTTAATTTTCACCTATTTTTTTTTTAAATTCAGGATCTGATCATGGATCACTGATTGCATTTTGTTGTTATCTCTGTTTAGTCTCCAGCCTTCTTTGCCTTTTATACATTGGCATTTTGAAAGAGTCTAGGCCAGTTTTTTCTGCAGAATGTTTTGGTTATTCCTGATTTTTTACTTATGATTAGATTCAGGTCAAATAGCTTTTGCAAGAATTCTACATATGTGATATATTCTCAGTGCATCACATCAGAAGGAATTGTCAGTTTGTCACATCATTGATGTTGATATGTTTGACTGTTTGATTAAAGTGTTATCTGCCAGATATCTCTATTCTGGATGTACATTTTCCCTCTGTAAATAAAGAATTAATTTGAATGACCATGACTTGAAAATTTGAAATGCACGTTTATTAAATCAGCTGAATAAAAGATTTTTTTTCATATATGAAAAGTAATGTTTTCATTTAAAATTTTCAGGTTGCCTTTTGATTTTTGTATTTCCTGTGATTATTTCCTTTTTCAATGATTTGATATAAAATAAGTGATCCCTGCTTAGGATTACATACTGAAGCATTGACAGATGAAATAAAATGATGTCTGGGATTTATCTAAAAATAATTCAGTGATGGTAGTAGGAGTATAGCTGAAAGAGATTGGCCAAATGTTGATAGTTGTTCAAGTTGGATTGATGGGCATATATGGGTTCATTGTACTACTATTTTATATTTTTCATGTTTGAAATTCTCCATTAAAATGATTAAAAATGATGATCCAGGCCAATTCACCACCCACAGTTGCAAGATTTTACTAAAGAAAGCATTTTTTTTAAAAGAAATGGGCCCAGTGCTGTGGCTTACATATGTAATCCCAGCTACTTGGGAGGTGGAGGTGGGAGAAAGCAATGAAATCAGCTTATATAAGCCATTGTAAGATAGTGAAATAGCTGTAATAGAAGTATATGTAAGGTATAGAGGCACACAAAAGGAATTTGGTTTAATGGCAGACAAGTGTTTACTAAAGAAATGACACATGAACTCTGGGTACTTGTGTAGATAGCTCTTTTTACAACTTTGTATTTATCTTCTATAATAAATGTATCTAGGTTTTCTATTTCAGTTTTGGTATTTAATATTTATGTCATCTGGATTTGCAGAGCTTGGTGAATTTTCTGTTATGATTAAAAAGAAGTCCCTCATTTTCTGTTTGACCTTTGATTACAGTTATTTTGTACACTTAGATTTTTTTCTGAGTCAGTTTGGTAGCTTATGCTTTGCAAAAAAATTTTATTCCATTATAGTTTTATGTGTGGGATGTGTGTGTGTTGTGGGACTGGGGTTTTAACTCTGGGTTTTACACTTGCAAAGCAAGCACTTTTCTCTGTGAGCCATACCTCTAGTCCATTTTACTCTGGTTATTTTAGAATTGGGGTCTCTGCAGTTTGCCTGGTCTGGCCTTGAACCTTGATCTCAGCAGCCCAAATAGCTAGGATTATAGGCATAAACCACTGGGCCAGGCTACTTTCAAGTTTTTTTTTTTTTTTTTTTTTGTATAAAGTGTTAGTAGTGTGCACAAGAGTACTTTTAAATCTCTACCTCCTTTTTTCATTTTTAATATCTTATTTATTTCTGAGTAGATTCGGTGGATGTTTATCTAATTCCTTTTATTTTAAATTCTTTTTACTTTTTGTTTACTTTCTATCTTTCACTAATGTCTAGTTGATTAATTGTTTTTTAATGTTTTGTTTTTGGTATATGGCACTAGCCTAACCCTGATCTCAAACTTACTTGCACTTAGTTTTTAATAGAAACTCTTACTGTCTTAAGATTCATAAAAATTCTTTATCTACTGTTAATGAACATTCTTTTATGTATTCTTTTTTTGCTGTGTCTTTGTTGTTATCTTAATATAATTTTAGAAGAAGAGGTGAGCACATGTCCTTAACCCACTCTCCTGAACTGTCATGGATGCTGGGCTATTGGCTGTGTGAACACTTAACTAGTTTGCTTGTGCCTGGGAGTGCTCTCAAATGCAGCAGAGATTGCTGTGTGTCATGGACCTTCAGGGCCAATTATTAAATGCGTGAAAGGGCAAATAAAAGTGCTGTGACTGCTAAGGTTCTATATTTTTTGGAATGGTAATTAATATAACTTTTTCTGAAAGTGATTAAATCAGGAAATCTGTTACATTTATGGAAATATATTAGAAGTGACTTGAAATTTTTATTTCTAGGTATTAGAATATTTAAATGATCTGAAACAATACTGGAAAAGAGGTTATGGATATGCCATTAATAGTCGATCCAGCTGCTCCCTGTTTCAGGATATCTTTCAGCACTTGGACAAAGCAGTTGAACAGAAGCAAAGGTAAAAACTTTTTCAGAAATCTGAAGTACATTCTGAGTTTGCTATTAAGCTTTTGAAAAATATTAAATGATGGGTGATTTAAAAATGTGTTTTTAAAACAATGTAATATGGTAATTGATAGTATTCAAACACTATGTCATTGTTGCTTGCAGTCATACTGTTTGTTGTCTTGAGACTTGCTTTTTCCCTTTTAACATTGTGTTCATAATATTCATTGTGTGATTGCATATAGCTGTAGTTGATTACCACTATGATATAATGTTTAATAATATGAATATACTGTATACCATCTACTCCTGTGAATGGGCATTTAGTAACTTCCATTTTTTATAATATAATTATGAACCTTTGTACATGGCTCCTGGTTTCAGTATGGAAAATTTTTTCATTTTAAAGGAGAATTTCTCCTCAAAAAGTCTTTGTTAACTGTCATATTTTTCAAATTTTTTAAAAAAACATTTTTATGTGCCTGGGGAGTATAGCTTAGTGGTAGAGTGTGTGCTTAATATGCACGAGGTCCTGGTTTCATTCCCCAGCACCAAAAAAAAAGAAAGGGACTGGTGGAGTGGCTCAAGTGGTAGAGCACCTGCCTAACAAGTGTGAGGCCCCGAGTTCAAATCCCATTGAGGATAGAACCTCAATCCTGGTTTTTTTATGCCTACATGAAGGCTTTTAAAATTGTGTCAGGAAGATCTTAAGATAACTTCTGTAAGATATGCTTTATAATTCAATTCTAGATTTGAAGCCTGTATAAAAAATTTGTCACTGATGTCTTAGAATACATGAGGTTTTTTGTACACTGAAACCTATAAGACATTACAGAGAGAAATTCCAGATGATCCCAACAAATGGAGAGAGGTAGCATTTTCATGGATTGGAAGACCCAAACTGATAGTGGGTAGATTGAGAGTAATTCCTATCAAAATCTCAGTTACTTTCTTTGTAGAAATTGAATGGCTATTTCCGGAATTAAAATGGGAATTTAAGGGACCTATAAAGGCTAAAACAGTTTTTAAAAGGAACAAAGGAACTAGTAATAATTTGACTTTTCAACTTACTGTAAAGCTATGGTCATATTCAGATCAATAGGATAGAATAAAGTCATATAATCAATTCATATATAGTAGGCCATCTATACCTGTGGATTCTTCATCTGTGGATTCAACTAACTGGTTCTAAAATTTTAAAAAATGCATTTGTACTGAAAATGCATAGAATTTTTTCCTTACCACTAATTCTCTAGCTAATGTAGTATAATAGCTATTTATATAGCATACTGTACCACTTTATATAAACATCTCTGATGAATATAAACATCCTTGAATTACGGTGTCTGGAGGATCCTGGAACCAATGCCCCATGAATACTGAAGGACCACTCTTTATGGAAAATCGATTTTCAACAAAAGATGCCAAGGCAACACAATGGGAAAAAGGTGCTAAAACAATTGGATATCCATGTTTTAAAAGAAAGATACCTGGATCTTTCACCTAGTATGTGGGAATGGGCCATAGATTTAAATATACAATGTAAAACCATAAAACTTACGCAAGACAGTATAGGAGCTATGACCTGGGGGTAAGTATGCATGACCTTGGATTATGTAACAGTTTCTTAAATACAGCACCAAAGTATGATTGATAAAATGGCCTTCACCCAAATTTAAAACCTTTTGCTTCAAAAGATACTATTTGCAAAATGAAAAGAGAAGCCATAGACTTGAAGAAAATATTTGCAAAATATGTATGTATACAAATAAGAATTTGAATTCAGAATATACAGAATTATTGCTCACTGATAAGAACACAAATAACTCAGTGTTAAAAAGCACAAAAGGGGGCAGAGGGTATAGCTCAGTGGCAGAGTATGTGCTTAACATGTACAAATAAGTCCCTGGGTTCAATTCCCAACCACACACAAAAAGAAATGCAAAAGACGTGGACAGATTTCATTAAAGAAGATGCATGATTGCCAAATTAGCACATGAAAAGATGTTTACCTCCATTAGATATTTAATCCACAGTGAAATACCACTAATAAACCCCCTAAGTTGACTAAAATAAAAAAAAAGGTTGTTCTTTTTTATGCCTGAGGAAACCCCAGGCATTGCTGCTGTTATGAATGTAAAATTGTATAGTCTCTTTAGGAAAGGTTGGCAGTTTCTAACAAAAATTAAACATCTGTATGGCTTAGAAAATCCACTCCTGAGTATCTACACAGTAGTGATGAATGCATGTGTCTATATAGACTTTTATATAAAGTTTTATAGTATTATTATTCATGACTAAAAAAATGTCCATCACCTGAGAAGTAGACAAACACAACATCCATATGATGGAATGCTACTTAGTAAAAGAATGAACTGCTAATAGATTGAACCAAATGGATGGCTTCAGAACATTATGCTAACTAAAAGAATCCAGATGCATAAGACAACTTACTGAATAATTCTGCTTATTTTTGAAATTTCTGAAAAAAGGCAAAACTTAAGATATAAAAGCAGATCAGTGGTTGTCTGTGTCTGACTTTAAAGAAACTGCAGGATGGTTTACAGTGATTGGATACCTCTATGCTAAGAGATTGAATAGGATTTTAAAAGTATTTATTTAGCTGAATAAAGATTAAATCTTCTTCAAATAATAAAGTGAAGAAAGTATACTTGGAGAGTTCTGTCATATTTTGCTTCAAAAAGTGGATTAATAATGACTAGTGCTGTGAGCAGTACCTCAGAAGAAAACTAACATAAGGAGAGAATAAAGTTTTTTGTTGTTTTTCTTTTTTTAATTAATCCACTACTCTGTAATGCAGTTTTATTATGTCCAAGCAACATTGAGTGGAACTTACAGAAAATTCCGACAATGCCCTCACCCCCTTGACACACACTGTCCTTCCATCAACCTTATTTACCAGTATGGTAGAAAAATGATTTTTTTTTTCTTCTGATACTGGAGATGAAACCCAGGGCATCAGCCCTCTATCACTTGGGCTACACTCCTAGTCCTTTTGTTTTTGAGATAGGTACTCACTAACTCATGATCCTCCTCTCTCCATCTCCCATGTAGCTGGGATTTCAGGTGTATGCCACCAGGCCCAACTGAATAATAAGGTTTTCTGTTGTCGCTTTTTCTGGCATTACTGAAGTTTGAACTCAGGGCCTTATGGTTGCTAGGCAGGCACTCTTACTGCTTGAGCCACTTCACCAGCCATCAACAATAAGGTTTTAATAGAGTATTTTATGTTTGTATTTTCTGACCTATCAAAGCATTATATTGACATTAACTCAGAGATGTTCTTCAGTGCCACTGATAGTTTTTCTACATAATTTTAATAACATTTTTCTTCGTGGAAAGACTAAAGATGCAAATAATATTGATGTGTCAGCATTTCAATAAAATATAAACAGTTGTCTAAATTCAGACTCCCTAATTTTTATTAGACTCTTGACATTTATTTTCCTTTGTTAAACCATTCCTGCAGTATAGGATTAAAGTTAAAACCAGTCAATATGCTACTTAAGCAAATTTAAGCAGCTATTGCTTTTTGAGCAGCTGTGATTAGAAATCCAGACTGAATTTATAGAGGAAATGAGATATCTTTTGATGTTTTTCTACTTTCCCTTCCCCATTGTCTCTGTTAATATATTATCTTTTTAGATTGGAGAAATTCAACAAATCATTTCTTGCTTTCTCAAAGTGAGATTTTTATTATAGAGTATAATTACTTGCCTCATGATATATTGTTTTGTCAGGAATATTTCCAGACATCAAAAGAAGTTGTTACGAATAATAAATGTCTGCTACTTTCATTACATAACTGTCAGTGTCAGCCCTTTTTCTATCTTTGATAGGCTCTCTAGTCTTTAATGTTTTCAGATTGTTTTTTAGGTTGTGTACTTCCATATTTTAACGTAAGATGGCAGCATTGAAATCAATGTGTATTGGGGCACAGTAAAAGTATAGCTATTTTGGTCAGTTGGTTAGCTCATCAAAACAGAGGGAGCGTGGTCTTTTAAAATTCTTAGAAATGTAAGCGGATTCTAGACCATTTTGCTAACTTTTTAATTTAGTTTTAATCTTTAAATTTTTATTAGCATATAATAGTTGCACAGGGGAATACATTGTGATATTTACATATATGCTTGCAATATAAATTAGATTTACTCCCTCTATCATTCTCCCTTATTCTGTTACCCCCCTTTCTTAGAACAATTTCAACAGGTTTCATTCTTCTATTTTCATATACAAATATAAAATGCATCCATTATATTTACCCTCCTTCACCCTTTCCTTATGCTTGCTAACTTTCTGAAGTCAGGATTCCAAGGAATTTAACCAGGTATATCAGGAATCTGTTTTCTTGCTACTTGCTGGAAGATACTGACTAAGTAAGGTAAAGGTTATATATAAATAGCATGGCCATACCCTAAATTCAAAATGAAATGCTCAACTGCTTCTTGGATAAGCATTTTTTCACTGACATAGACATTAATTCACTGGGACTTTAATTCACTACCTTCTCTTCAAAACCTAGAACAGTGCTTTTGGATATAGTTGTGCTCCCAATATGTAATGATGGAATATCTGTATCCTTCTTTTTCTCCTGTGTTAGCTATTTTAGTCAGTGTCACCATCATCCTCCCAGACATGGAAGCCACAAACCTACACGTGATTTCTCTCTCTTCTTTTTTTTTTTTGTAGCACTGGGGTTTGAACTCAGGGAGTCATGCTTGCTAGGCAGGTACTGTACCACTTGAGCCACTCCACCAGCCCTGTTTTGTGTTGGGTTTTTTTGAGATGGTGTCTCAGGAACTATTTGCCTGGGGCTGGCTGTGAACCGTGATCCTCCTGATCTCTGCCTCCTGAGTAGCTAGGATTATAGGCTTGAGCCACCGGTGTTTGCAAACTTGCACATCATTCTTGACCCTATCTCCCTTATCTTGTATCTAGTCATTCTAGTGTATTTGTTTTCTTTCTTTTTTTAACTTCCAGTTTATATCAATT